CCCCGCCACAGTGCCACCAGAGATCAGTGAACTAGCCTGCCAGCAGTGCCACCAGAGATCAGTAACCAGCCCGCCACAGTGCCACCAGAGATCAGTGAACTGCCCCGCCAGCAGTGCCACCAGGATCAGGAACCAGCCCGCCACAGTGCCATCAGAGATCAGTGAACTACCCCGCCACAGTGAACCATTCCCGCCACAGTGCCACCAGAGATCAGTGGAACCACCCCGCCAAGGCGCCACCAGATCGCGAACGCCTGCCACAGTGCCATACCAGAGATCAGTGAACTAGGCCTGCCACAGTGCCACCAGAGATCAGTGAACTACCCCGCCACAGTGCCACCAGAGATCAGTGAACTACCCCGCCACAGTGCCACCAGAGATCAGTGAACTAGCCCGCCAGCAGGCGCCACCAGAGATCAGTGAACTACCCGCCACAGTGCCACCAGAGATCAGTGAACTAGCCCGCCACAGTGCCACCAGGAGATCAGTGAACTAGCCCGCCACAGTGCCACCAGGAGATCAGTGAACTACCCTGCCACAGTGCCACCAGAGACCAGTGAACTAGCTCGCCACAGTGCCACCAGAGATCAGTGCGAACTACCCCGCCACAGCCACCAGAGACTGGTGAACTACTTCCCGCTGCCAGTGCTGCCACCAGAGATCAGTGAACTGGGATTCGCCACAGTGCCACCAGAGATCAAAGTGAACTAATTCTCGCCACAGCGCCACCAGAGATCAGTGAACTACCCCGCCACAGTGCCACCAGAGATCAGTGAACTACCCCTGCCACAGTGCCAGCTCAGAGATCAGTGGAACTACCCTGCCACAGTGCCATCAGGAGATCAGTGAACTACCCCTGCCACAGTGCCACCAGAGATCGGTGAACTAGCCCGCCACAGTGCTACCAGGAGATCAGTGAACTACCCCGCCACAGTGCCACCAGAGATCAGTGAACTACCCCTGCCACAGTGCCATCAGAGATCAGTGAACTGGCCTCCCACACAGTGCCACCAGAGATCAGTGAATCATTCCCGCCACAGTGCCACCAGAGATCAGTGAACTACCCCGCCACAGTGCCACCAGAGATCAGTGAACCACCTCCCGCCACAGTGCCACCAGAGATCAGTGAACCATTCCGCCACAGTGCTACCAGAGATCAGTGTGATCCACCCCGCCACAGTGCTACCAGAAGAGATCAGTGAACTACCCTGCCATGCCATCAGAGACAGTGAACTACTCCCGGCCAAGAAAGTGCCACCAGAGATCAGTGAACTACCCCGCCACAGTGCCACCAGAGATCAGGGGTGAATCAGCCCACAGTGCCATACCAGGAGATCAGTGAACTACCCCGCCACAGTGCTACTCAGAGATCAGTGAACTACCTCGGCCACAGTGCCAGCCAGCGATCAGTGACCTAGCCCGCCACAGTGCCACCAGAGATCAGTGAACCAGCCCCGCCACAGTGCCACCAGAGATCAGTGAACTAGCCTGCCACAGTGCCACCAGAGATCAGTGACCTAGCCTGCCACAGTGCTACCAGAGATCAGTGAACTAGCCCGCCATACAGTGCCACCAGAGATCAGTGAACTACCCGCCACAGTGCCACCAGAGATCAGTGTGAACTACCCCGCCACAGTGCTACCCAGAGATCAGTGTGAACTACCCCGCCACAGTGCCACCAGAGATCAGTGAATTACCCCGCCACAGTGCCACCAGAGATCAGTGAACTACTTCCCGCCACAGTGCCACCAGAGACCAGTGAACTGATTCCGCCACAGTGCTGCTACCCAGAGATCAGTGAACTAGCCTTGCCACAGTGCTACCAGAGATCAGTGAACTACTCCTGCCACAGTGCCACCAGAGATCAGTGTGAACTACCCCTGCCACAGTGCCACCAGAGACTGGGTGATCCACTCCCTGCCACAGTGCTATATATCAGAGATCAGTGCGTGAACTAGCTTCCGCCACAGTGCCACCAGAGATCAGTGAACTTATTCCCTGCCACAGTGCCATCAGAGATCAGTGAACTAGCCCGCCACAGTGCTACCAGAGATCAGTGAACTACCCTGCCACAGTGCTGCCACCAGAGATCAGTGAACTAGCCTGGCCACAGTGCCACCCAGAGATCAGTGTGAACTACCCCGCCACAGTGCCACCAGAGATCAGTGAACTAGCTCAAGGAAAGCCACCAGAGATCAGTGACTAACACCACAGTGCCATCAGAGACTGTGCAACGTACTCCTGCCACAGTGCCACCAGAGATCAGTGTGAACTACCCTGCCACAGTGCCATCAGAGATCAGTGAACTAGCCCGCCACAGTGCCACCAGAGACCAGGAACTACCCCGCCAGTGCCAACAGAGATCAGTGAACTAGCCCGCCACAGTGCTACCCAGGAGATCAGTGAACTACCCTGCCACAGTGCCACCAGAGAGATTGGTGTGAATCTCACCGCCACAGTGTCACAGAGATCAGTGAATCATTTCGCCACAAAGCACCAGAGATCAGTGAACTACCCTGCCACAGAAAGCCACCAGCGATCAGTGAACTAGCCCGCCAGTGCCACCAGAGATCAGTGAATCCGCCCCCGCCACAGTGCCACCAGAGATCAGTGATTCACTTCGCCACAGTGCCACCAGAGATCAGTGAACTACCCCGCCAGTGCCACCAGAGATCAGTGAACCAGTCGCCACAGTGCCACCAGCGATCAGTGAACCAGCCCGCCACAGTGCCGCCACCAGAGATCAGTGAACCAGCCTCACAGTGCCGCTACCAGAGATCAGTGAACTACCCCGCCACAGTGCCACCAGAGATCAGTGAACTACCTCGCCACAGTGCCACCAGCGATCAGTGAACTAGCCCGCCACAGTGCTACCAGAGATCAGTGAACTACTCGCCACAGTGCCACCAGAGATCAGTGAACTGGCCCCGCCACAGTGCCACCAGAGATCAGTGAACTACTCCCGCCACAGTGCCACCAGAGATCAGTGAACTACCCAGCCACAGTGCTACCAGGAGACAGCGTGAACTACCCCGCCACAGTGCCACTGGAGATCAGTGATCCGATTCCTCGCCACAGTGCCACCAGAGATCAGTGAACCAGCTCCGCCACAGTGCCACCAGAGACTTAGTGAACTACCCCGCCACAGTGCCACCAGAGATCAGTGAACTAGCCTCGCCACAGTGCCACCAGAGATCAGTGAACTACCCCGCCAAGCAGTGCCACCAGAGATCAGTGAACTGATCTTCGCCACAGTGCCACCTAGAGATCAGTGAATCACCCCTGCCAGTGCCACCCAGAGACTGCGTGAACTACCCCGCTGCTGGAAAAGCACCAGAGATCGCGGAATCACTCCCCGCCACAGTGCTACCAGAGATCAGTGAATCACCCCGCCACAGTGCCATATCAGAGATCAGTGAACTACCCCGCCACAGTGCCACCAGAGATCAGTGAACTACCCCGCCACAGTGCCACCAGAGATCAGGTGAACTACCTGCCACAGTGCCACCAGGAGATCAGTGAACTAGCCTGCCACAGTGCCACCAGAGATCAGTGAACTACCCCGCCAGTGCCATTGTAGAGATCAGTGAACTAGCTCGCCAAGCAGCCACCAGAGACAGTGAATTGGCCCCGCCATGGCGCTACCAGAGATCAGTGCGAACTACCCCGCCACAGTGCCACCAGAGATCAGTGAACTACCCCCTGCCACAGTGCCACCAGAGATCAGTGAATCCAGCTCCGCCACAGTGCCACCAGAGATCAGTGAATCCACCCGCCAAGAAAGCTACCAGCGATCAGTGAACTAGCCTGCCACAGTGCTACCCAGAGATCAGTGAATTACCCGCCACAGTGCCACCAGAGAGATCAGTGAACTAGCCTGGCCACAGTGCCACCACAGAGATCAGTGAACTCAGGCCCCGCCAGTGCCACCAGAGAACAAAGTGAACTACCCCGCCACAGTGCCACCAGCGATCAGTGACCAGCCTGCCACAGTGCCACCAGGAGATCAGTGAACTACTCCTGCCACAGTGCTGCTACCAGAGATCAGTGAACTAGCCTGCCACAGTGCCACCAGAGATCAGTGTGAACCAGCCCGCCACAGTGCCACCAGAGATCAAAGTGAACTACCCCGCCAAGCAGTGCCATATCAGAGATCAGTGAACTACTCCCTGCCACAGTGCCACCAGAGATCAGTGGAACTCCCCGCCACAGTGCTGCTACCAGAGATCAGTGAACTACCCGCCACAGTGCTACTCAGAGATCAGTGAACTACCCCGCCACAGTGCCACCAGAGATCGTGAACTACCCCGCCACAGTGCTACCTCAGAGATCAGTGAACTACCCCTGCCACAGTGCCATCAGAGATCAGTGAACTAGCCTGCCACAGTGCCACCAGAGATCAGTGAACTACCCTGCCACAGTGCCACCAGAGATCAGTGAACTACCCCGCCACAGTGCGCTATCAGAGATCAGTGAATTAGCCTGCCACAGTGCCACCAGAGATCAGTGAACTACTCCCGCCACAGTGCCATCAGGAGATCAGTGAATTACCCGCCACAGTGCCACCAGATCAAAGTGGAATCATTCCCCGCTGGTAGTGCTGCCACCAGAGATCAGTGAACTACCCCGCCACAGTGCGCTACCAGAGATCAGTGAACTACCCCTGCCACAGTGCCATCAGAGATCAGAACTACTCCCGCCGCCAGTGCCACCAGAGATCAGTGCACCTGGCCTTGCCACAGTGCCACCAGAGATCAGCAACTACCCGCCACAGTGCCACCAGAGATCAGTGAACTACCCCGCCACAGTGCCACCAGAGATCAGTGAACTAGCCCGCCACAGTGCCACCAGAGATCAGCGTGAACTACCCCGCCACAGTGCCACCAGCGATCAGTGAACCAGCTCCGCCACAGTGCCACCAGAGATCAGTGAACTACCCCCGCCACAGGTGCGCTACCTCAGAGATCAGTGAACTAGCCCGCCACAGTGCCACCAGAGATCAGTGAATCCAGCCTGCCACAGTGCCACCAGAGATCAGTGGAACCACCCGCCACAGTGCGCCACCAGAGATCAGTGTGAACTACCCCGCCACAGTGCCACCAGAGATCAGTGAACTACCCCGCCACAGTGCCACTCAGAGATCAGTGAACTACTCCCGCCACAGTGCCACCAGAGATCAGTGAACTACCCCGCCACAGTGCCACCAGAGATCAGTGAACTACCCCGCCACAGTGCCACCAGAGATCAGTGGAACTACCCTGCCACAGTGCCACAGAGACTAAAGTGAACTACCCCACAGTGCCATCAGAGATCAGTGAACCACCCCTGCCACAGTGCCACCAGAGATCAGTGAATCCAGTTCACACAGTGCCACCAGAGATCAGTGAACTACCTGCCACAGTGCCACCAGAGATCAGTGAATCATTCTGCCACAGCCACCAGAGATCAGTGAACTACCCCTGCCACAGTGCCACCAGAGATCAGTGAACTAGGTCAGTGAACCACCGCCACAGTGCCACCAGAGATCAGACCACCCTGCCACAGTGTCCAACGTGAACTACCCCGCCACAGTGCTACCAGATCAGTGAACTACCCCGCCACAGTGCCATCAGAGATCAGTAAACCACCGGCCACAGTGCCACCAGAGATCAGTGAACCAGCCCGCCACAGTGCCACCAGAGACCAGTGAACTACCCTGCCACAGTGCCACCAGAGATCAGTGAATCCAGGCCTGCCACAGTGCCACACCAGAGATCAGTGAACTACCCCTGCCACAGTGCCATCACTAGAGATCAGTGAATACTCTTGCCAGTGCCACCAGAGATCAGTGAACTACCCCCGCCACAGTGCCACCAGAGATCAGTGACTCCAGCCCGCCACAGTGCCACCAGAGATCAGTGAACTACCCCCTGCCACAGTGCCACCAGAGATCGTGAACTACTCCCGCCACAGTGCCACCAGAGATCAGTGAACTACCCCACAGTGCTACCAGAGATCAGTGAACTACCCCGCGCTACAGTGCCATCAGAGATCAGTGAACTACCCGCCACAGTGCTACCAGAGATCAGTGAACTACCCCGCCACAGTGCCACCAGAGATCAGTGAACTACCCCGCCACAGTGCTACCAGAGATCAGGTGAACTACCCCTGCCACAGTGCCAGTACTCTACAGAGATCAGTGAACTAGCCTGCCAAGAAAGTGCCACCACAGAGATCAGTGAACTACCCCGCCACAGTGCCACCAGAGATCAGTGAACTACCTGCCACAGTGCTACCCAGAGATCAGTGCGGACCACTCCCCGCCACAGTGCCACCAGAGATCAGTGAACTAGCCTGCCACAGTGCCACCAGAGATCAGTGAACCACCGCCACAGTGCCACTCAGAGATCAGTGAACTACCCCGCCACAGTGCCACCAGAGATCAGCAACCAGCCCGCCACAGTGCCACACCAGAGATCAGTGACCCAGCCCGCCACAGTGCCACCCAGAGATCAGTGACTCCACCCCGCCACAGTGCTACCAGAGATCAGCGTGAACCACCTGCCACAGTGCCACCAGAGATCAGTGAACTACCCCGCCACAGTGCCACCAGAGATCAGTGACCCACCCCGCCACAGTGCCACCAGAGATCAGCGTGAACTACCCGCCACAGTGCTGCCACCAGAGATCAGTGAATCATTCTGCCACAGTGCCACCACAGAGATCAGTGAACTACCCCGCCACAGTGTCACCAGAGACTGTGTGAACTACCCCGCCACAGTGCCACCAGAGATCAGTGAACTACCCCGCCACAGTGCCACCCAGAGATCAGTGTGAACTAGCCTGCCATGCGCCACCAGAGACATCAGTGAACTACCCTGCCACACAGTGCTGCTACCAGAGATCAGTGAACTACCCGGCCACAGTGCCACCAGAGATCAGTGCGTGACCTACCCTGCCACAGTGCCACCAGAGATCAGTGAACTGGCCGCCACAGTGCCACCAGAGATCAGTGAACTACCCCGCCACAGTGCTACCAGAGATTGGGGTGAACTACCCCGCCACAGTGTCACTTGTAGAGATCAGTGAACTACCCCGCCACAGTGCCACCAGAGAGCCAGTGAACTAACACCCCTGCCACAGTGTCACCAGAGATCAGTGAACTACCCTCACAGTGCCACCAGATCAGTGAACTACCCCGGCCACAGTGCCACCAGAGATCAGGTGAACTACCCTGCCACAGTGCCACCAGAGACTGTAGTGAACCACCCCGGCCACAGTGCCACCAGAGATCATGAACTACTCCCGCCACAGTGCCACCAGAGATCAGTGAACTACCCCGCCACAGTGCCACCAGAGATCAGTGAACTGCCCGCCACAGTGCCACCAGGGAGCGAGGTAAAGGCAGCGACGAACCATAAAGTGACCCGGCCCCGACACGAGATATCAAGTTATAAATAAACTATAACTGCACTGGGGCTAACTGATGGCCCTCGGGCGCCCCACACCGTAACCCGCAACACCATCACACGCGGATCTCAACCTAATCCCTCCAGGCTTTAGGGGCAATATGGAGTGCATTCGTCAGGATGGACGGGTCGTCCTGCTCCCCAGCTACTCAGTAATGGCCCAGATTAAACTTGTGTTTGTTTACATAATTACAGAAGGGTAGGGTGAGCCTCCTCACTTGGCTGAACAAAGTGTAGCCTTGCATATCGTCTGGTGACTGGTAATGCTCATGAAGCACGGTAACAAGTTGGCCAGCCACTACACCAGCTTGCTCTTATGGCCAACTTGACAATGCCAACATACTATCGCCACACTATTACCTTCCCAATGTCTTGCTAAACTACTACTATTTCCTCCACATTCCCCCTCTCCACTTTACTCCTGTTACACATTCGCCCAAATTTACTCTTCATTAATCTCAACCGCTTTACCGCCTAGTGTATTATGTACAAGAAACCGTGAAACATACGATATTGATTATATAAGTCCAGATAGACTCCCATCAGAACACATTATAAAAAAACAAATATATAACAGGTTTATTATTTTTGTATCTGGATCGACTTTTTCCCTCCAGACCGAAGTACTATTAAAATATTTCCTTAGTAATTTCACGCACGGATGAAGACTGTCAGGAATTCGTATAACAAAAACTAAGACCCCATGAGAGCGTAAACGTTATGATCGAACGAACAATATTCTTATTCTTATTGTTTTTAGATGCGTTACATTCCTGACGCTAAAATCAATCAAGTAACAATAATAACAAGGGAAACATCAGACAAGTAACAAGGGTAATAACAGGGAAGTAACAAGAGTAACATCAGTCAAGTAACAAGAACAAGTGCCACAATGTAACAGTAGAAGACAAGAGAAACACAACACTAATGTATGGTGGTGAATTAGCTACTACGACCCACGGCTCCACACACCACATCCTAACCTAACCCAACACAATTACATTCTATCCTAACCCAACACAATCTAACCTAATCTAACCCAACCCAACTTAACTAATCCAACCTAACCTAACCCAACTCAACCTAACCTAACCCAATCTAACCTAACCCAACTCAACCTAACCTAACCCAATCTACCTGGGGCACAGCTTTAATCAAATATAAACTCTGATCAAGGTACTATATCACCTGAATGAGGGAGGAATGCGACCACTTCCCATGTTTGCCAATATACACACGAGAGAGAGAGAGAGAGAGAGAGAGAGAGAGAGAGAGAGAGAGAGAGAGAGTTTAAGGGGGTTTAGTCATTCCTAGCAAAGTGAGTGTGTGTGTGTCCAGTGAACATCTGTATTTACACTAGAGGGAAAATTTTTTCGGTCGGTGATTTTATATATACGAGTGATTCACCTCCCATCTTATGATCAACCTAAACTGACCTAATCCAAGCTAACCTAACCTAAACTAACTTAATCCAAGCTAACCTAAACTACCATAACTTAATCCAAGCTAACCTAACCTAAACTAAATTAATCCAAGCTAACCTAACCTAAACTAACTTAATCCAAGCAAACCTAAACTACCATAACTTAATCCAAGCTAACCTAACCTAAACTACCCTAATCCAAGCTAACCTAACCTAAACTAAATTAATCCAAGCTAACCTAACCTAACCTAACTACCCTAACTTAATCCAAGCTAACCTAACCCAACCCAAACAACCCTAACCTAACAAAACCCACAGTTAATACAATTCTCTCCATTGATATTTGTTTTCACGAAGTAAAAAAAAAAATAATAATAATTCTAAAAATACTTCCAGATAAAACATAAACAGACGGTGGGAAGACGGACGAACATACAGTAGGGAACAAGTCAATCCATGATGAACAGACGGACAGACAGACGGACAGACAGACGCCTTAACAACCAGCAAACGATGTAGGAAGCCGAACAATGGGAATGATAAACAGACCAATAAGGAAACGACCTCATTACCCGTGTTGTTCTGGAGGCTGCCCTGACAACATAATCGATCATGTACTTTTAAGGTTCACACACACACACACACAATTTGACGCAGTTTGTCTACTACTTGTGTACAAATTAGTCAAACGGCGCTGTGTGTGTGTGTGTGTGTACTGGGCTTGGAGGCGTAGCATAATGTAAGTGTTTGTTTCTTAGGAGCGTTGAACGGGGATGCTTTTACAGGGTGGGGGTCATATAGTACAGTATAGCCGAAGAAAAACATACATACATACATACATACATACATACATACATACATACATACATACATACATACATACAGTAAATAAATGCTACTAAGAATGCCAAGTGGTTTTAGTTAAGGCAGTTCACACGTCTCAAAAGCCTTCATTTCTAGAACCAACAAATAGAAAATTCTTTTACACTGGCTAGCAACATGAGTAGCAAGCGGTGTGTGTGTGTGTGTGTGTGTGTGTGTGTGAGGGATACGGATCACTGCAGCTCTCACAGTGTTATGAGCGCCAGCAGGAGACAGGATGATGGAGGTACAAGATTAATAATATTTGTATATGTATATATATATATTTTTTTTTTAAATGGATCGGTTCTTGTAGCACAAACTGTAAAGGGGGTAAATATATACTAGTGGTTGCACACACACACACACACACACACACACACACACAGACGAAGGTAAGAAACAGTTATCCAAAGGTCTCAAGACTGACTCAACCTCTTGGCGACGCTTTATACTAATACGTTATTAAACCTAACCTAACCTAACCTATTTATCGTGACCAAAACCACTATGGCGATCAGTCCTAAATCCACACTCACCTGTCACCTCTAATTGTAAAAACTTCTTGGGGAAAAAAAATCACCAACGTAATTAAGGTATATTACCGCATCAGTCTTGTTCATAAACTTTCTGATAATAAAAAAAAATATACAAAATAAAATAAAATAAATAAAAAAAAAGCATAGGATTTTGCTCCCCGTGAAGTCCTTCTTACTCTACATCGTCCCACTTGTTCCGAGCAGCCAATACAGCACTGCGTCTCTATAAATCTTTACCGTACGCGTCCTTAAGAAACCAAGACGACCCCCCACCCCCGGGCGCCAGGCAACCTTGGTAACTTGTGAGAAAAGACGACGGCGGCGTTAACACTCTTGCGGAGAGAGAGAGAGAGAGAGAGAGAGAGAGAGAGAGAGAGAGAGAGAGAGAGAGAGACAACACAGCCAGTCGGAAGGCATGACATGGGTTCAGGTTTCATCAGGGCAGAGAAACTTTTTTGTTGTTGTTGAACCATCGTAGTTAGCATGGGGGCCACTGCCTATGTAGGAGTGTATATAATCTCAGCTGAAAGTCGAATAAATATTAATATATCCCCCGAAGGTGTAATCTGGGCTACAAATCAACAACAAAAATCACTTAACATGTGTAAGGTGAGGTCAAATCTGTTCTGTCTCAAAATCGGCCGGGCTCAGAGTAGTGGGTGCTACTACAGGATATTTAGGTTAGGTTAGGTCAGGTTAGACTAAAGATATCTTTGTAGATCGCCGGCTATAGTATCACCGAGTAGTTTGAGTGCCAAGTCGAATAAATCTGTTACTATTTATCCACCGTGCGTGTGGTCAAGGCTCCAAAATCGAAGAAATCTGCAAGTATGTGTACTCTGAGCACTAAACCCAATGAGGATTTATAATCATTATTCAAAGTCACATTTAAACATGACGAGAGTTGCTTCCAGGAAACACAAACAGCCTCACCTCTGATAAAAGACATTCACTGCTATAATTCCCATTACTTACAAAGTATATATTAGCCGACGACCTCTGCTTCCTGGAAACAACCGAGGCCCGAATTTTTTTATCATGCTGTCATCAGTGTCCACATACAGTGTTCTAACGTACTTGAAGCGGTGACACCTTTGGATGACACAAGCTGACAGATCCTTGGTCCGTGAGCACAGCTTGGCTTACGCTTGAGCAGTAAGGTGATAGATAGATAACATGGACACTGCAGTGTTTATGGTGTATCCTATCTCCTCCCAAGTCAAAACATCTTACATCAAATATCTTTAAGGTTTTGGTATAGAGACGCCACTCTCATTATCTTCCCACCTGTCATTTCTCCTTCACTCCAACTTGTAAGGTATCAACACATTTTAAAGGGATGGATTTCGCGTCCAATGTCCAATTCACATTAATCATTTTCTTTTAGTAACAGAGGGCTTTTGTTTACAGAACTGAAAATAAGTTATATTAAACATTAAGCGAATTCCCCGATAAATATTACAACTGTACATATGACCCAACATTTACAGGATTTCATGAATAATTATGTTCTGTTGTAAACATTTTTAATACTCTTTGGGGTTT